TAATTACTAAACCCTTATTTCAGTTCTTATTTGATAGATCTAGGGTTTGTAAGTCTTAGATTCATTGCATGTACAATAGAGAAACCTAGACCCAAGCATTAGGGTTTGTATGAGCACATAGGATTGTTCTTATGCTTAAAACCCATCATCATTATCATTAAATCATTTTGTCATGTACCTCAAAGTGGGAAACATGTCAACAAGTACTCACCTCAATCACACATAGATTAGCTAGTCATCTTCTAGTTCCTTTCCTTAGAGAAAAACTCTCAAACCACCTATGTAACAAGCACGCAGAAGTTAATAAAATGACCAAAATACCCCTCAAGGCTTCCATTACTAAATTTTATTGCCTCAAACTATTCCTCATGAAAAATTATGAACGTAGGAAAAAAACCACGTGTAAATCCGAGCCTGTATGCAAAAGTTATGAAGAAAACAAGTAACTCTCTAACAGAGCCTTTCCACGGCCATATATATTAAGACATGAAATATCCACGGGTCGTGTTTTTATGTCTTCACACACACAAAACTCAATGTTTCTCAAAATAACACCCTACTTTCCATAGTTCTGGAAGACCCTTTTCTAAATCACTTTGTACCGTTTATTTAGGTTCTCACACATGATTAGGATGTCTTTTATTATCCAAACACACCCCACTTAATCCATTAAGTGCTCATTTAAACCGATAAGTATATAATGATCCTTAAGTTCAATTGAAATTTTAACTAGTCTACCTTCCAATTGCACATTCCAAAGTTCCTAAAACTTGTTCCCCACTTATTGAACAATAACCAACTCCATAGCAAGTGTTTAATTTTACAATGGAATCCTCAATCCCATTATTACACTCTAAATGCTTATAATCACTCAATTGAATGGGTTAAGAGTTCATATTGCTCAATAACAATCTTCAACCCATAATACTTATTCCCAAGTCATCTAATACATCATTGAGTGTTTTCAAGCACTTACCATTACACTAACCTCATGTTAATTCCTTATTGTAGTTATGGAATATCCAATTTCATTCTAACTTTCCCATTTTTCCCTTATAGCCAATAACTCCATTTATCAATCTAGGAATCAAGCAAAACATTATGTTTTGAATTCAAATCATTCAAGAGTGTCCATTCATGATTATGAACTTCCTTTACTCATCAATTGCTCAACTATAAAGGATTCCATTATTTTTATCATATTGTCCCGAATTCCATTACCATTCAATTTTGAACATGATTCTCCCATCATGGATGAATTTTAGCATTCCAATTGGATTAGTTGAAATCAAATATCATCTACGTTATAGAATCCAATCCTAATTTTAATATAAACAAGAAATCCCCAATTTGGATTTCTAGGGTTCATGAGGGTTTTCACCCAAATCCTCAAGTCCATCAATGGGATGATTGGATTGGGATTGAGATCATCAAAACAACTCAATGGAGGTTAGAAAACCAAACCCTAATCTTCAAATGAGATGAAATCATACATAACTCTGAATCCATAGATGAAACTCGAATTCTACATTAAGAGAGGAAGAAAATATACCTTGAACCACTTGATTTCTTCACAACTTGCACCAAATGAACCAAGAATTGAGATCGACTCCTAGGGTTTCTCTTGAGATTGAATCGCCATTTCATTTCCTCTCTTCTCCTTCCATCGTTCATATTTGGCTTAAATAGAAAGCATTCTTATTTTTAGATTGCCATATTTGGTCATTCAAGTTTCCTTTTTTTGGATAAAACCTACCAAACTTCAATATTTATGATTTGGGATAATGACTTAAAAGAGTAATATATTTTTTGATTTGTACACATTTGGTCACTGTGTTTTTTTTTCTTCCACATTTACTCTTTCAACTTGTTAAACTATACACATTCAGTCCTTATGAACGGTTACTCCAAGTTATCCGGTAAAAATGACTTAATACGGTAATATATTTCTCACTTTATATACACTTAGTCCTTAATATTTTTGTATACATTTAGTCTTTAATATATATATTTTCAATATAGGTCACTTTTGTTTTTGTACTCATTCAGTACTTATGAATGATTTATTTAGGTTTTTCTTACGACATTTTACTTGGGACAATCATTAATGAGGTGTTTGGGGATTTTGATGCTTATATCCATCGCGACCCCGACTACTTGGTTGCTTAGGTAATGTGTTCTGAACATCATAACTTCTTCATACGATCTCAGATTTTAATGATCTTTATATCCATACGTTTTTTATGAATGTGTGTATAGATGTTTTTTTTTATAAAATTGTAAGTAAAAATATATTACATTTTAACGGGATTAATCTTAACGAAAGTTGCAGTAGACTCAAAAAACGAACACGTGGATATAAAGATCGTTAAAATCTGATATCATATGAAAAAGTTACGACGTTCAGAAAATAAGACCCAAACCTAACCACAAGACCTACACAACCAAACAGTCGAGATCGCGATGGACATAAGCATCAATAGCGCCAAACACCTTATCAATGATTGTCCCTTGTGAGAAAAACCTAAAGAAATCATTCATAAGTACCGAATTTTGAAACAAAAAATATTAAGGACTAAATGTGTACAAACATATTAAGGACTAAATATGCACAAACATATTAAGGACTAAATGTGTACAAAATAAGAAATATATTACCCTATTAACTCATTTTTACCGGATAACCTGGAGTAACCGGTCATAAAGACTAAATGCGTACAGTTTAACAAGTTGAAGGGGTAAATTTGGACGAAAAAAAAAACTCAGTCACTAAATGTATAAAAATCGAAAAATATATTACCTTTTAAAGTCATTATCCATTATGATTTTAACTTAATTAAGTTTTGGCATAGTAACCACTTCTCCATCCATTATTTAACTTGTGTAGTCCTTTCCACTAACTAAGTCAACCCTTTGGTCAACTAACTTTGTCAATTTGATACTTTTGGCCCTTTAACCTTTATAATGTTATTACTTTCAGTTCTAAACTTTTAAACTTCCAAACTTCATATCAACTAATGATATGATTATCCCTTAATGATTTAACTATATAAATCATTTTTCATTTATTTACTTTATTAAGTTAAGAACCCGGTCATAAATTTTAGGATGTTACATGATTCCTTAATTGTTGCATTAACCTAACAAATGCAACAATACTTAAAAAAATGCAAAAAAAAAAAATGAGTGAATAATGACTCATTGGCGGCCGTAATTCATAACCTTCAACCACCACCAATGCCACAATTTCAATTTAATCCCAATATGTTTTCAGGAAATACCTCGAACAAACCTACAAGACTTATGAAATCGAAGAGACGGGAGAAGGTGATGATGATTGATCATTTTTGTCATTTTGAACAATTTTTGTTAAATACTTGTTATTTTTGTGTTGTATATCATTGTGGTATATATTTAGACTTTAAGTCTTGAATTTGAACTACGTGGGTTTGTTATGTTTATTTAGTGATGGAATTATGTTGCTTATTGCTTAGGTTTGTTTTAAAAACAGGTTTGATAATTACAGAATCTATGAAAAATATTAAAAAGAAAAAAATACAAGCTATACCGACAACTATAGGTCTTAATTGTAAAAATGGTTTTGATCTATACCGACGACATGTCGTCGTTATAGCTCAAATTGTAAAAACGGTTATAAACTTGAGCCGATGACATGTCGTCCCTATAGAGTCGACATGTCCCTGTCCCGACGACATGTCGTCGGTATAGAGTTGACCTATGTCGGCGTCTTGTCGTCGGTACAAAATAATAATAATTTTTTTTTCGAAAATCGGTTCCAACGGACCTTGAGGAGACGGCATATTGTCAGTATAGTGGGTACCAATCCCGACGACTTTTTCCACTTGTCGACGACTTGTCGTCAGCATAGGTTTTTCCGACGACTTGTCGTTGGTATAGGGTTTCTAAAAGTCGTACGTATAAGGGTCAATTCTCGTAGTGAAATGTGATGAAGGTTGATCTCCAGTGGCGACGACAGTAAGGGACAAGAGGAGGTTGTCGCTGGCAGTAATGGCGGTCAAGAATCGAGAAAAAAGATAAAAATGATATTATATACGGTACCATATTAGAGTGTATTTTTCAATAATGGGATCAAAATACATTTACATATTACAAAAAGGAGCGGGCTAGCAATGATACAACAACGTTGGACTAACCATAATACACTCATACAAACTACAAACAGTACTTATTTATTTATTTATTTATTTATTTTTTAACTGCTCAAAATGTCTTAAATATATGAAAAAAGTACTAATGATATTTATAATAATCTTAGACCTTTATACATAATTAAATATATCTTTTTGAGTATTGTTAGAAAAAACGGCACATAATGAGACATGCATGTGTGTGAAGGTCAACACTGACAACACATGCACACACTACGCTTACACACATGTGGGTTCATTTAAGATAGTGAGGCTATCCGGTATCCTTACAACACATATACACGTGAAAACAACTTGATAGCCCTTTCACAACCAATCCACTATACTTTGGGGATGGTGATCACTAGTGAAGAACTAGTGAACAACCAATGAAGAAGAGAGAGGGAGAGAAAAGGAAGAGAGAGATAGACACAATACCTTTGGTGATCTTTCATGGTAGCCACCACTCCACATCACACCCACTATACCATGGGGTAGTGTTTACTAGTGGAAAACTCTTCCACATAGGATCCACATAAGATACCTACGCGTTAAGAAGTCTCCATACCGTATGGCCTAAGAAGGGCTATTAGCCAAACATTAGGACATATATTTGGAGATGACAACATAAGACAAGCTAGTCAAAAGTACCTAAATTTGACCTCGACAACACTCCACATTCTTCAACCACCATAGAGTAGGTGAACAAGTGCTTTTTTGGAAAAATGATGAAGCTTGTACCTAAACTACCCGCACTTTTAATTTCTATGCCTATAAAAACCCTCTCTGTCTTTTCTGTCATTTTGTCATTTCCCAGCAAAAAAAGAAGTCATGGGGGTGCCTTTTCATCCTTCATCTTTCTTGGGTTGTTTGCTCTTTATTATATGCATTCTTTACTTGTATCCTGGAGTAGTAGCAGCAAAAACTGGTGGCAATAGCATTACTAGGCACTATACGTTTAATGTTAGCAACTTTTATAACATTCTATGTTCGATTTGATGCATATAACATATATAATACACTTTTTTGTTTTAGATACAAATGCGAAATATTACGCGATTGTGCAAGACAAAGAGTGTAATAACTGTGAACGGGAAATTCCCGGGGCCTCGGATTATTGCTAGGGAAGGGGACCGTGTGGTCATAAAAGTGGTCAATCATGTTCCAAACAATATCACAATACATTGGTATGCATTCTTGTGTATATTCTTTCAGATTTGTTAATTACTGGAGTCGCCCTAATTTTGTCTGTGTTTCCGGTAGGCATGGAGTTCGTCAACTTCAAAGTGGATGGGCTGATGGGCCGGCATACATCACACAATGCCCGATTCAAACGGGTCGATCATACGTTTACAACTTTACCATTACGGGACAAATTGGAACATTATGGTACCATGCCCATGTTTCATGGATTAGGGCTACCTTATATGGCCCGATCATCATTCTCCCTAAACTTAATGAATCATACCCGTTTGTCAAACCCTACAAGGAAGTCCCGATCATATTTGGTAAATTACTTACACAAAGTCTTTTGCTTTTGCAATATATTATATCCATTCATGTGAAATTACCGATGTTTTGATGTTGTCTTTTATATAACAGGAGAATGGTGGAATGTTGATCCAGAAGCTGTGGTCAGTCAGGCAATTCAGACAGGGGCTGGTCCAAATAGTTCAGACGCTTATACTATTAACGGATTCCCCAGTCCAACAATAAATTGCTCATCAAAAGGTCTCTTATACTTGATAAAACTAGGCCAAAAGTTTTAACAATACTGGAAAGCAAAATCTATTTAATGTGAAATATTTAAAAGTTGTGTGTAACACCTTTATCGTTTTCAAAAAATGAAGACTGACGAGTGAACTCACAATTTGTTTATTGTTTATATAGAAATGTATAGGTTTAAAGTGAAGCCCAACAAGACATATCTTCTTCGATTGGTCAATGCTGCACTCAACGATGAGCTTTTCTTCAAAATTGCAAATCATACATTTACAGTCGTTGACACAGATGCAAGTTACGTGAAACCATTTAAAACAGATACAATATTCATCGCACCTGGGCAAACTACTGATGTTCTTTTAAAAACCAAAAGCCCTAATTCCAACGTTAAATTCTTGATGGCTGCTAGACCGTATTCCACGGCAGCCTCTGGGACGTTTGACAACACCACCGTCATCGGAGTTCTTGAATATGGAGGTAGCCAAATTACCCCCGGCAACTCTTCCATTCAATCTCTTCCTCTTCCACAATTCCCGCCAATCAACGCCACCGCGTATGTTGCCAATTGGACAAATAGCCTCCGTAGTTTGGGTAGCTCCAGGTTTCCGGTGACTGTTCCGCAGACGATTCAACGGCGGTTTTTCTTTGCACTCGGCCTGGGAACCAACCCGTGCCCGGCAAACCAAACATGTCAAGGACCCAACGGCACAAAATTTGCAGCCAGCATAAACAACATATCTTTCGTGATGCCGACGACCGCATTTCTTCAGGCCCATTTCTTCCGACAATCAAAAGGGGTTTACACAACAGATTTCCCGGCCACTCCTCTCAGTCAATTCAATTATACGGGCACCCCACCGAATAACACCATGGTGGTTAACGGCACCAAAGTGGTGGTTCTGCCATTCAACACCACTGTGGAGCTAGTGATGCAAGGAACCAGCACTCTCGGAGGAGAAAATCATCCTCTACATCTTCACGGATTCAACTTCTTCGTCGTCGGCCAAGGCTCCGGGAACTTCAACTCGACTACAGACCCATCCACTTTCAACCTCGTTGATCCCGTTGAAAGAAACACCGTCGGCGTGCCCTCCGGTGGATGGGTAGCAGTCCGGTTTCGAGCCGATAACCCAGGTGAATTCGAACACTAATTTATCGGCAAGTTGATACAAAAATATATACATCCAAAATAATAGATTTAACGACGATCTTTGTGTGTAACAGGAGTGTGGTTCATGCATTGTCATATCGAGATTCACTTGACGTGGGGATTGAGGATGGCATGGGTGGTTAACGACGGGAAGCTTCCAAATCAGAAGCTGCCACCTCCGCCGGCCGATCTTCCAAAATGTTGAACTTGACGCCAACCAATTTTTTATTTTTTGATTGATATAATGTATGTATCACTTGGATGCCCAAGCATGTATTCCTTTTCCGTGTACTTTCTTCTCTCGATCTCTTATTTTTGGGATCTTTCATTTTCCGTTTTAATTTATCAAAATTTCTTTTAATTTATATTTCACTTGCTTCCTATTAATCATGATACTTTGATTTATCTGAACTAGTATTTATCAATAGTCCATAGACTTGATGAACTAGTAATTTAGCATTTTGGACCAAATATGTCACTATGTATGTGTTTAAAGGTGGACCGGTCCATATAGTATTGTGGCCCATTTGATTCCTTTTTACAAAAATTATTCTTTTATTTGGTTCCAGGGCATGCACAAAAAACTAGTTTGGGAAAATCGAAAACCGATGAAATCAAAGTTTAAATTTATTTCAAAAATATGACTCCCATTGTAACTTATGTCGTCGTTTTGAACCCGACTTTAAGAGCGTGTTCGGCAAAAATAGATTGTAACGGGTAGCTTGTAGCAGTTAGCGTTTGTTAAACGCTATGTGAAATAATATTAGAATTTGAAACGTTTTGTTTAAACTAAACACTAGAAGTTTGTAGTGTCAAACGAGAATTTCTGTTCAAAACGGAGTGTTTTGTCAAACGCTAGAAGCTACAAGCTCTCAAACGCTCCGTGTCGAACACGTCCTAAATGTTTGGGAGATGGTGGGGGTGACACTTGAAAATATTTTTATGATTTGGATTTATTGGAAGACGGCATAGATTTTGCATCTAAAGAAATATTAAAATTTAACAACATTTTCCAAAGTTTATTTAACATGACATGATGTGAAATACGGAACATCCGAACCCACTACTCATGAAAATAATGAAACAAGTCGATTCTGTAATACTTTGAGAAAAGAAAATACTAAACAAGTTCGACGTAGCATCCCTAGTAGCGGGCCTAGAAGGTACATTGGTTCTGTTTTTTGAGGCACGTATAAGTGTCCAAGAGTTTGAGAATTTGGATGTTTTGGCTTGGTGGAAAGAAATGAATCTAAATTTCTGATTCTAATCGCTATGATCTGTGGTGTACTAAGCGCCCATGCTTTTATGGTAGCTTTGGAATCCATTTGTATGTCAGTGGCTGAGTTATATCACATAGAAGAACAAAACTCGCCCCTTTATCGGTGGAAGTGTGGATCTACTTGAACGCCTATCTAGACGGTGTGGAACAGAAAGAACACATTTCACTACTTGAAGGCAAATTGTTAAGGGTTTAACAAGAAATGCATGAGGAAGAAATAGCAATGTGATTGTTAGTACAACTTATTGTACAAGAGCTCAAGTTTGAAAACACATTACACAACAACATGGCGGACAAAGACTAAATCCAAACAATAATGATTACGACTACGAACGATAAAAAAAGGCAACTATGACGACGAAGATGTTTTAAATTTTATGTTTTTATGTTTGAAGATGTTTTAGTTTAATGGTCTACTAGATTATAACCCGCGTTAAACGCAGGGAAGCGTATAAAAAAACATACAAATGTCTACAGATATTGCATAATAATTATTAAAAAAAAGTTATGGTTATTGGTATTCTTGAAATGTGTAGAAGATACAATGAAATCGATAAATATCTATAATCGTTGAAGGACCTCTTTGTGCATAACAATTTTTATTTTATTAGTTGAACGACATTCTTCCTCACATATGTGTATCTTCAAAATCATAGATAACTATATTAGTGTAATTTGAAGAAAGATTGATGGGTAAAACATTAGGGACAAAACTTTTAGTTTTTTTTCTTGAAGAAGATGTATCGTCACTTGAATCCATCACTTTAATTTAGTGTTAATGTTGCTTATAAAAGTTAAATATAAATATATAGGCATATTGGTAAGTTTTATTATTTCATATGAATAAAGTAATAATTATAATAGAGCAACATTTTCAAAAAACTAAATGCTTGAAATATTTTGGTGGGAAAACATCAAGATCATTAAAAAAATTTATATAAGGAAAATACAAATTTAGATCGGCTGAAATTATGGATGAAATTACTGACGAATATTATTTTGGAGGGAATTGTATTTTGTAAGGTATAATATTGTGACAAAATTCAAAATATGTATATTTGTTGAGTAATTTTATAAATTTTATTGTTACTATCTCTAAATATTATTAAAAGAGAACCTTAAATTCTAAAATGAAGAAACAAGGACCCTTGATTATATTTCACTCCTTAATCTCCACCTTTGGAGTATTTTTATGACATCATCCTAAACCAAAATACGTTTTGCTGACATATAGACCAAAATACGCACGGTAACTTCCTTCTTACTTTTCATTCTTGGTCCTAATTTCATTCTAATCAAGAGCGTGTATCGACATGAAGTCATTTTCTTCTTCTTTTTCTCTTTTTCTCTCTAATCCATCAATGGATGTAGCTATGATCGATTGGAAGGATTCGAAGTTCGAAAAGGACATACTTTATGAAGACATTAATGCTCCTCAATGGATTGATTTCTCCTGTTGATGATGAAGCTCGGGGCATTCACAAAGCGCCGTTGAATTTTAGGGTTTTGTTTCTAGGGTTCCTTTCTTCTTTCTTTTCTTTTCTGGGTTTCTTGATGTATTGAGCTCTGAATTGATCATTAACAACCATTAATTGCTTTGAATCATTTGACAATGAATTCTCTTCATCTTCATCTTCATATTCACCATGAACGCCTCTCTGTTCGATTAAAATATTCAATAAATAAAGTTGAATTTAACAATATAAAGTTTTTTTTAGTTTTATATATTAACTTTTTTTTACCTGTTTGGATTCACCATTTACACCCGTATGACCATTTTCGTCTTTTTGGGCAATCTGCTCTTTGATCAAAGAAACTTCAACTGAAATTCTAGACTTTTCCTCTCCACTTTCTTGTAATAAAGCAACAAGCTTTTCTTTTTCTTCTTTGCAACATTCAAGGCTCAAGATAGCACATTCAAGTTCAGCTTGTATCCGATCATGATCAGGTTTATCAGAAATTACCGATTCGACCTCATCTTCCAATTCTTGGATTCTTTTCAACTGTAAAGCTTCAGACTTTTTCCTGCTTTCAATTTCATCAAGGGCATCTTGTAATTTAAACAACATTTCTTCACCATGTCTTTTGGAAACAGAAAGTTGTTGCTTTAATTCTTGAAATTTTGCTTGATGTTGTTCTTTTATAAATGCCATTCTTAATGATTTTGTAGGCCCTTCAGGTTCTTTTTTCTCACTTTTTTCTTTCATCTCCTTTACATATACAGACAAATTGTTGAATTCTTCTGTTTTCAGAATCTGTTCAGAAAGCTTGTGTGTAAGTTCATTACATTTATTCTGAATCATGATCAATTCATCATTTTGTTCATCCAACTTTGCTTTCAAAACCACCAACACAATCTCAGATTCTTCTCTCATAAAGAACACATCATCTGTAGACTCCACCAACTTCTTATTTTCCAAAATGTATGAGCATCTGGAACAGCGACATGAAGCGGATAAGCTCAATGAAAAGAATACCATCCACAATGTAACCAAAATACCCCTTGGACAAATACGCATAATTAAAATGATAGGCTCCAGCATTCCTTATCTTCTTTAAATCAATATCACTCATATCAAAATACTTGTGATTAGTCTGGTGTCTTCTGGTTATTCCGCTGAAATTTCAATTTTTACAAAATGACGAATATACCCTTTAAGCCATTTCTTGAATAACCCTCTTTTATTAATGTGTGGTTGATAAATATTACTTTCAAATGTCAAACTTTCACAGTTTGTGAATTTAGTATTTTTTTTTATCATTTCTAGATAGTTTTTTACTAATTATTATTTTTACACCATGTATTCCAGGCATGTAAAAAACTCAATCAAATTGAGCTCTCTGATTGTGAGATTTATGCCTCTTGTGAGCCCTGTCATATGTGCTTTGGTGCCATTCATCTTTCAAGAATCAATGTGCATTTTCCTCTCTAATCCAAATGACATCTTTACCCTTTTGTCTAAAAATGAGAGTAAAGTTACAACACTACAACCTTTTACGTTCTGCTTTAACAAAGAGTGTAAATGACCATTTTACCCCTAAAATCCAAAAAAAAAGATCCGTTATTTAGTTTATTTATGTGAATGCAGAGGTTTGTTTATGGGCAAAAGCATAAGCAGCAATTGCAATTGGGTGTGATGATTTCATTGCAGATGCATTAAGAGGCACTGGATTTTATCAAAAGGCTCATATGGAGATTAAAAAAGCAGATGGAAATGGAGCAGTTATTGCTGACACAAGTATTTGAAAACACCAAAGCCAAATTCTCCATGTATTGATTTCATTTCATACATTTTAACATTTCACATTTTCAACATTATTATTATTTCTCCATTGTTCTCAACAATTGATTACAGAATCTCAAGTTTTCTTTCATTAGACATTATCTATATGTAATTGTTTGCATTTTACAATTTCTGTTTTACTGAATTTATATATTAACCAAAAAACTGAGGTTTTTGAATCAACAATCAAGAACATAACATAGACATACACTTCAGGCCAGATAATATTAAAGGAGCTTGTTGACACACTGCAAACGGAAGCTTCTTCTGATTTGGTTCATATAAAATTCTCTTATTACTCTTTTCATAGTTTATATCTCATATTTTGTTTTTTAAATCTGCAGTAAGTGGTTTCTTGTGATGGATGCTGTGGAATCACCTTCAACATAGTTCAGAACTAAAAGTTTTACAAATGCTATCAACAAATTGTTTATTTGGTCTATTGCACGTAAGCTATTTTTCTTTATACATTAAATTGTTTAACATTACAAAAAATCAAATATTCTAATATATTTATAATATTTCACCTTTTTTCAGGGTTTGCGCGTGCATGTAGGTAATCAAATTTACTTTCTTTATATTTATATTTAATTTTCTGAATTATATTATTAACGTTAAAATTCTCTATTTTGATGGATTTGTATAAGAATTGTTGCGGCTAGGAGCAGCAGCCATCTGTTTAGATGATCCCATACTCTCAGTGGAGGATCTTTGCGATCAGATTCTATAGGTCCTCAATTTTTTTCGGTAAAGCATCCACCATTTTTTTTTAATTCTTGATTCTTATATAACTTTTTGTATTCTAGTTATTTAAGGTTTGGTTGGTTGTTTAGATCTTTTAATCATTTGAATCATATTTTGAAATAATATGAACACTATTAGTTATTTAGAATTAGCATGTTTATCATTGCAATCTATTTTTGTAATTATATTTCATATTTATTGAAATATTATATATTTATTATATTTTTTTCTTATTCTACAAGCTTTTCAAATTTACAGTTTTTTTTATATGGTAATTATTATCTTAAATTATGTATGATTTTATCTATTTTTGTAATTATATTTGACATGGTTTATTGAAATATTATATATTTATTATATATTTTTCTTATATATTTATTTAAATACTATATATTTATTATTTTTTCAAATTTGCAGTTTTTTATATGGTAATTATTATCTTAAATTAGGTATGATTTTATCTATTTTTGTAATTATATTTGACATGGTATATTGATATCAAGGTTCTAAATAACGTGAGGCGTGACTTGGCGGCAAGGTAAAAGTTAAGTCATGACAAGCCTTGGCGAACCATGACGTTTTTCAAGGCGTGACTATTTTATATATATTAAAAGAGATGAATCATATAATTATTGATTTTTATCAAGTATATCAAGTTTTTAGAAGTGTTATATTAGTATTTAATATAAAAAGTTAACAAAAACTCAATTATTTTAGGCCCGATAAAATAATTCAAAAAAAAAAAACAAAAAAAACTTGCGCCTTGAAAAAAACTCACGCCATATCACGATAAGGCGCGTCTTGACACGTTATTTGGACGTCATGCTTAACAAACCCGCATTGAACGTTTTCGTAACGGCTACACCACGCCTCGTGCCATGGCACGCCTTGAGGCGCGCCATGGCGCGTTTTTTAGAACCATGATTGATATTATTTTCGATATCATACCATATTTATTAAAATATTATATATTTATTATATTTTTTTCTTATTCTACAAGCTTTTCAAATTTACAGTTTTTTATATGGTAATTATTATCTTAAATTAGGTATGATTTTATCTATATTTGTAATTATATTTCACATGGTATATTGATATTATTTTCGATATCATACCATACATAAGACATATTTTAAGTATGGAAATGATATTACATTCCAAAATCTTTATGTCATATCAACATTAACCAAATTTATATTTCCCTATAAATATAGTGTCTACGATTTTTCATTCCAAATCAAATTTCTCTCTAACTAATTATCTCATTTCATTGTAGATAATAGTATTCGATGGCAATTAACAATGCAGATCAGGTCGTATTTGATAAGGTTGCTGAAATCAATGCATACAAAGAGTCTTGGAACATACGTGTTAAAGTCGTCATGCTTTGGAAGCCGACCTATAAAAACAATCCCAATATGGTCACAAGCCTAGACATGATTTTAATTGATCAGAAGGTACTGTTTTTACAAACTTTATTTTTTAGATTGTCAAATTCTTATGTTATTTCTATTCAAATAATTTTAAAATCGATTTCTGTTATGTTGTTTTATTTCTATTCAAATAATTTTAATAATCAACTTTATTAGTTATAATAATCAACTTTAGTCTATGTAATGAAATCTCTTATTATTCTTTTTTTTTTATCAATCTGATAAATTTACAATTATTAAAAATCTGGTGATTTTAGTTCCCGATCCCTTCACTGCAATTTAGTCTATGTAATGAAATCTCTTATATAGCTTTATTATTAATTTTAATAATCAATTAAATATGTCGGTTTCTTCTTATTATTAATTGTGTCAGGTCATATAATCAGTCGGTTATATTGTTTGGATACCTGTTACTTGGTTTCTTTTAAACGATAAAACAAAATAAATTGGTTTTTCTGAACAAAAAAATAATAATAAAAGGGTTTTTTTTGTATATAATCAGATAATAGGTTGGACTTTTCTGAATATTTCCCGGCAGAAAAATATGGATGTTAATCGATTTCATTTCTTCTGTTTTATTTCTATGTTATTAATTGTTGATACTTTATCTTTAAATTTTATTTCCATTTTATTAAATTTTAATTAACAATATTATTTTTATGTATTTTTAATACTTTTTTTTGTTTATACTTTTTTTATCTTTCATTGTCACATATAGGGAAGTAGAATACAAGCAACAATAAAAAAAATCTTATTCCTGTATTTGAATCCCTATTCGATGAAGGAGCTGTCAGGGAGATCAGTAACTTTGCTATGGCTAGCAATGAAGGTGAATACATGCTTGTTCCTCATAAACATAAAATCAATTTCTACAAAACCACAAAAGTTCGTGTATCCACTGATTTTGTTGATACGGTAGATCCTTATCATTTTATCTCTTTCCCAGATTTGCTAGCCAGGAACTTTGACACTCGTGTTGCATTTGGTATGTTGTTATGTTATTAGTTTAACTTATTTCTATACTTCAGTTTTAATGTAATACACATTTGGATTATTATTACTAATTTATTACATTTTGTCACAAAGATTTTCTTGGCCAAGTTGTGTCAACTGATCATATGCGAGTCATTGTTGAATATGGAAGAGAAAAAAGGTTAATGAATCTGGTTGCTCAGGATTTAAGGTACACATTCGTATTATTATTACACATTCCCACTTTTATATTTATCTTTCATTAATAACCACCATGCATTTTTAGTGGTACGAAAATTGCAGTCGCTTTGTGGGACAGTTTTGCACTGAAGCTGAATACTTACATTTCATAACATCAAAATGAAACTGCTCCGGTTATCATCCTGCTACGTTTGGCCAAACTCAAAATTTGGGGTGGTAAGGATTTTTTTCAACAAATTATCATTTCAACTTCAAAGTAATTACTGACAATATTATTTTACTTTTTATTTCCAGATCAGCCTCAAGTTGGTAATTGTTTGTTTGGGTCTAGATTGCATATAAATGATGATATGCCTCACATTTTAGAGTTCAAATCAAAGTATGTTTTTCTAATAATTATGAATCCTATAATGTTTTATGTTTTTATATGATAACAACTGTAATCATTACCTTAAATTAGTTATTTACCATACTTAAGACATTTAGCTTACTAAATCATTACTTTTCTTTTTTAACCTCATTTTTTTGTATATGTAGTCTTAATGCTTTGGATAAGAATGTTGAGCCTTCTAGCCGTACATCGCAGCTCAACTCAGATACTGTTGTGGCTAATCCAGAGGATTACTACCTCCGTTTTCAAATAAAAAACATTGATGAGATTCCTGATTTTAACGAGGTTTAGTTAACATTTTTATATAAGAGTTTCTGCATTCTATTATTATTTTGATTTTCTATGTACAATTCATATGAAATAAGATTTTAATATGATTCCTTTCAAATAATGTTTGAAACAGGAAGTTGGTTTAACCATCATCGCTACTATCATTGGTTTTGATATGGATGAAGGCTGTTATTCATTTTATTGTCGTGATTGTTCTAAAAAAGTTACTAAAAATGATGATGATGTTGATGCTGGTCCTTTTCACTGTGATGGTTATGGATTAGTCTCGGATGTATATGGAAAGTAAGTAATTATTAGCTCTTCGACTATGCATGTATTTTACTTTTTTCATATATTTCATTGTGCATGTCAAGCTAAATATAACTATTATGTTATAATTTTTAGGATTATGATAGTAGTTCGTGTGCAAGATGAAAGTGGGTCTTCTTCGTTCGTATTGTTTGAGCGTCATGTAAAAGATCTTATTCATCGTGGAAACCAATGGTTGATGGAAAAAATAGCTAAGGTTTGATAATATATCTCCATTATTTAAATAATTTACATATATGATTTTTCTTCTTTAACTTTTCAACTATTACGTTGTAATGTAAATTAGGATCAAGGACGCCAACAGATACCTGATGAGTTCAAAATTCTTCTAAATAAGAAGTTTGTCTTCAAAGTTCAGATATACATGTTCAATCTGCAGAACAACTATCGTGCTTACACTGTGCAGAAGTTGACTGATGATGAAATGGTTCTTGCTGAGGTTTTTAAACGGTCACCAAATCATGAACACCATATTATAAATGATAATGGTACTCCTGTTAACAAGCCAAATAGGGTGGGAAACTGTCTCATATATATATTTCCAAAGTCAATCCATATGCCCTCTTTTCAATATATTTTTCTTTCATTTTTCATGATTTTGTGCAAATATGTTATGTTTTTTTATATTTTACTCTTATCGGATTTTTATTATTTTGTGTTTTCTACTGGAAAATACTGATTCTGTGCATGATGACAATCTTGATGTTGTTCACCTTGAAGCTTTAACACCATCATCCAGTATGGGGAAGCGCCCTATTGAGATTGATGTCAACACTGACTCTTTGGAGTGGTCTTCGACAAAAACCGGTGTTGTTTCTTCTATCTTGAAGATCCCAAAGTTGGAAAAGTTGGACTAATATGAAGCCACCCAGCAAGATTTTACATTTCATCTTCAATATGTTTAGAGACATTTTCTTTTTAATCTTTTGTGTGTCGCACTTTTAGTTGTCTGCTTATGGATCTTTTGGTTGTTTTTAAAATTTTATTGGGTTGTTATTTGGTGTGAACACGATGATAAGCTCAATATTTATGATAATTTCAAGTTATTGAACTGTTTTCATTTAATGCATATTTTGTTTCTTTTTTTTTTTGGTTCATCATTTGATTTTGTAAATTTATTATATGTACCTTATTATTCTAAATGAAACATATTATATAAATCTCTAAATATTATTAAAAGAGAACCTTAAAATCTAAATTGAAGAAATAAGGACCCTTGATTTTATTTCACTCCTATTTCTCCACCATTTGATCATTTCTGGAGGCAAATGATGTTATGTGATTTGAAGGTGAATGATGGTTTCAATCTGATTATTGCAATTTTGATTCACAGATAATCAAATTTTCTTGAATAAAGGGCTAATATCATAAAAAACATTATATTTTGTCACTTTTATCCGTTTGATCTAAGAGTATTTCTCGCAGACTGTAATGACCCTTGCATAAGTTTATCTATAGGTTTTGGAAGATGTAAATTCGTATAAGAGAAAATCAAAGATAAACTGGAAACACTTGTTGCAGTAACTAATAAGCACTTAAATGATAGTCGTCTCAGACTTTATATGCATAATTATATGCAAACTTTATTTTTTACCTAATTTAAACCCAACTAATAATCAATTCCTTTATTTAATTATATACAAAATTTACTTTTACCTAATTTAAAACCTTCTAATATACATCGTTTGCATATGGTAACATAATAAAATCATGGACTAAGTATTCAAAATCAATTTTTTTATACTGCATATATTCCCTCCATAATTATATTCATAATTATATGCAGACTTGATTTTTTACCTAATAAGTAAGTGTTTTGTATATCTATAAAAAACGCATAAGAAGCTTATAAAAAAAACGCACAAGAGTTGGTTCATCAGTTTTATGAGGTTATACATATTAACTTCATTTACATAAAACAAATTTATTATTTTGTATATCTATTTTTATAAACGTTCTTTTTTTTAAGATGGTAATAACGAAATTTATCCATATGCTCTGAATATACTATTGGAGAAAAAGATGGCGTTCAAAATTCAAATTTCACATAACAATTTGAAGAACAAAACAGAAGGTTATACTATCTCAAGTATCACGTCTAACAATACAATCATTGATGAATTGGAAAAAATATTGAAAATGGATCGGGTAAAATTCTTTACCGTCAATACTACAAATAGTATACTTATTATTATTTCAATCCGTATGTCGTGAAAGATTAAATTTTAAGTTTTTCTAATATTATTATCTTATTATTTCTTTCTTTTGCAGTTATCGTTATTGACTTCTGAACTAATTATTGAAATTCTTTCACGAACATCAGTATAAACATTTGCTACTATACGTTGTACAAATAAATATTATGGAAATCTAACATACAACAACCATGTTCTTCATAACTACAACCGTAGAAATAATGTCGTTTGTGGAATTATCGTTCAACAAAAAAAAACCATGGAGAAATATAGAGCGTCGGTTTGTTCCGTCTTCTGCTAGCAACAATCTTGACATTGATTGGCTACCACATACTTGTACTATTTTAGCATCATCCTTGTGCGGACTCCTTCTTGTTGAATCCTATGATCCAAATGAATACGTTTCAAAGATTTTATTTGTTATCAACCCAACGACTACAGATTTCAAATGGATACCGTTTCCGACCTCTGAATACACTGCGGTAAAGTTTGTTTTGGTAGTTATCAGTTCGAACCCGTTACATTTCAAGGTCATTCGATTGTCATACACAAAGCCATCGTAAGAGTTTATATGTAGTATATTTTATGTTATTAATTTACTTTATTATTTACTTATATTATTTTATTTGTAATGATATGCTTAAGGAAAAAGTGGACTACGATTACTACAACATATAATTGTTTTCATCTACTACATGGCAATGGAGGGAGTTTCAAAATATCAAGTTACATTCATCTGTTTTTCCTATTTCTGATGAGGCAGTTACAAGTGGCGGTGTCGTTTACTTCTTATTATCTAATGATACCATATTGCGATTTGATATTTATTCAGAAGAACATATACTCATATTTGCACCTTCTATTATTAATGACTTCAAACCGTATGCATCGAGACTGATCAAGTTTCACGGAAAATTGGGATATTTCTCTGTAAGTGGAGATCGTTTGTGAGCTATTTGGGTTTCATTCACAATCGGTGGGTTAAAGTAGAATATTAGTAACTACAATGAAGGTGCACATGAATGGTGGGATTATAGAAACAATACCCTATATTTTTTTAAAGGAAATACGATTGAGTATGTGGTTCCAGCACATCCTTCTCAACAAGTTTTTTCAATCCGTTCTAATTTTGATACAGTGACTATGCCAAGTAGATATTAATGATTATATATATTTTAATTTGCATTTGAACATAGTTGTTTTTTGTAATGAACTATTTAAATATTTTATATTACTCTATGATTTATTAGTTTTTTTTATTTATTCTTTTAATTGTTATGAGGTTAAAATAGCTATTGTAATGTATGTTAATGAATTTAAAATAGCTATGGTAATGTACTTTTAATTGTCATGCTTCCTATGATGTAATATATGTTTACAATTCTATGTTTTTTTATATGCTCCCCGCGTTTAACGCGGGTCATAATCTAGTATAAAGATAAAACAAAATAGGTTGGTATGGTATATAAATAAAATATTTAATCACTTTGTTTTAGTGTTAATGTTACTTATAAAATTTATATATATATATATATATATATATATATATATATATATATATATATATATATATATATATATGTGTGTGTGTGTGTGTGTGTGTGTGTTGTGTATAGGCATATTGGTAAGTTTTATTATTTTATATGAGGAAAGTAATAATTATAATGGGGCAACATTATCTAAAAATAAATGCAAAAAATATTTTTGGAGGAAAAAATCGGGATCATTAAAAAAAATTATATATGGAAAATACAAATTTAAATTAGGTGAAATTATGAATGAAATTAATTACGATTAAATTGGTAAGTTACGATTGAATCCGATTTTGGAAAGTTTAAATTTGATAAAGGAAACGTGTAAGTTATCAAAATAAATTTTTTTATCGATATAAAGAAAATACAAATTTAAATTTGATAAATGAACGCGTAAAAAATAAATGTTTGAAATATTTTTGGAGGGAAAAAATCGAGATCATTAAAAAATTTTATACAAGGGAAATACAAATTTAAATTGGATGAAATCAATGACGTTAAATTGGTAGGTTACGATCGTAATCCGATTTTGAAAAGTTTGAATTTGATAAAGGAAATGCGTAAGTCTTCAAAATATAAAATTTTAAACGCAGGAAACATATATATATATATATATATATATATATATATATATATATATATATAATCTTATAAAAAGTCGACAAAATAAAAAAAAATATATCTTAATAAATAAGAATCATTTTGCCATATGTTATTTTCTCATTCATTTTGTCACATGACAATTTTTAGTATTTTTGAATTAACTATTTTTCACTTGTTATTATTCTATGTTTTTCAATTATTTAAAAATGTTGCTAAATTATATTATTATATAAGCATAAACATTCTAATTAGACAGTTCATTTCATAATAAGATTACTTAATTTAAACATATATTGACAACCAATATATCAGTTTTTCACTGTATTAAATAGTGACAACTATTTCATTTATTCAAATAAAGTAATAGAGTATAATTTATGGAATGTTAAATGTTATATGAATTTAATTTTAGTATATCATTAATGGAAATTCTTTTCTAAATCATGATTTGTTTATTTTAAAATGATTATGAATATAATTGATAGCTTTTATGTTTGTTCTTATTTATTTGGTGTTCGTAAAAACTTTGCATTGGATTTGGCGCAACTTTAAATAATTTTGGTATATCATCAATGTAATTTGGTATATATCTTTCAATTATATGAAATATCAAATAATGACATTTCATTATTATTGTGATAATTTAGTTTATATATTACATTTTTACTAATGTTAACGGTCTTATTTTTTTTTCTAATAACCGTAATGCTTTAGTAATTGTATTTTTTACGAATCTCCTAATATCTTATAATTTTTTTTATCTTGCTTTATAAATTTTCATAACTATGCTATTTTCAAGATTGACTGTCTTAAATACGAAACTTTGTTCACTGATTTAGACCAAAAAGGGTTTCCCATGACCGAGATATGACCTTTCAAGTACAGGGATAGATTAGTGAAAATGTTGAAATAAAAGATTTGGCTTTTTAAATAAAAAAAACGCATACGCACATTGCTATTAACTAAATATGTTAAAAACAAAATAGAAATTACAATGCACTTTGTATTCATTGAACACAGTTACAACAACTCATAATAAATTTAGAAATTGCAATTCAAAATAATATAGATTAAAGTCAAAGTACATTGCTATTAACTAAATCTGTTAAAAACCAAGAATTATGGACAAATATGTCAAATTAATAGCAGTATAATATTGATAATTAAAAACATTGAAGAGTAAATGGTAGTTTCAATCATCAACTACCGTGCAATCCAAACAATCTCAGAAAAATTTAATTATGTAAGACACACATACATACATACAGTTAATCAAAAGTCACTATGTTTTTCTCATGGGCATTTTATCAAACATGTAGAGTGCAACACCAAATGCAAGGTTAAAAAAACAAAAGTAAAAGATTGAAAAAGTAATACTAACATTTATAATTAAGATTATTCATGCATTCAAAGATCATAGTCAAATACAACACTAATGAGAATAAAAAAATCAAATACAATTAACAAAAATTAAGAACATCATATTAAAGAAGGAACCTGGATGACGAAGGTGATGCTGCAAAGGGT